TGCCTGAGTCCTTCCCTTACAGTCCCGGCCTCCTGCCCAGCGCCCCTTCTCTCGGGACCCTGCCTGTGTGCAGCTCTGTGCCACGCTGACTGCCCTGGAGGCCCTGGGTCCAGGAGTCTCTGATACTCAGCATTCCATCTCTGCATGCAGTGCCCTTCTGGGCCTGGGGACGTGCTGGGACCCAGAGAAAGGGCTAAAAGGGGGACCGCAGGGCAGCAGACCTAACGCCTGGCTCCCTGGCTTCAGGCTGAAAGGCCATTCTGAGGAAAACGGCCAGGAAGCCCTTTGTGAGCCGCTTCCAGGAAGCAGACTTGAGGCTGAAGCGCCCTCATACTACCGTGTGAATGTCTTAGGCTACACTTTGGCAAATAGGCCAAGAAGAGAGCAGAATGCAAAGCCAGGGTCATCGGCTGGGAGGGGCAGGGATGCTGGTCCTGACGCCAGCTGGTGCTGTCGTTGGATCCTGTCCAAGAGACTCTCTTGGGCCTCACACAAGCCCACCTGACCTCAGGCCTCACCGGTGTGGCTGGTACCTGCCGAATGCCCACTGCTCCCAAGAGTGGCCGCTCACCTGCTCTGCCCATGGTCACGTGGGAATGGGGGATGGACTTGCCAGATCTCCCATATTTTTCAGTAGAAGCCCAAAAGCTGGATTTTAAAATGCAAATTCTCCTGATTTTAAACGTTGGCTCAAATGTTGAGAAACAGAGACAGAGACAGAGACCTCAGGCAGGCCAAGTGCAGGGCTGGCAGGCAGATTTAGCTCAGAGAGGCCAGTTTCCATCACTACCCCCTGTCCTGTGCCCAGCTGGGCACTGGGAGCCCAGGCTAGCCCCATAGAGCCAAGACCAGTCTCAAAGGGATGGGGCCAATAGCACGGCCAGGTCCTCCCGAGCCGAGGAAGGACTTGCTTGGACTTGGGACTGTTCCACGTCAGGGTCTGTGTTCAGGTCCCCGCTGTGCTGGGGTGAGCCCTGGGAGACAGCTGAGGAAGCCCAGGCCACCTGTCCTCTGTCCTGCACATGCTGGGGACAGAGCAAGACGCAACGACCCTCTCTGCTTCTGGAAATACCTACAGGTCATCCCTCCTCCCTCTTCTTCCCCTGGGCTCCTCCTCGGCTGCCCTGCCCCCTCCCCGCCCCTGCCCTGCAGCTCGGGCCCAGTTCCCTCCCACCCTGTGATTTCTGCAGGCTCGCCTCTTCCCTGGCCAGCAGCTGGGACTCGGAGGTGACCCCTCCCTGCTCCACACCTCCTGGCCCTTCCCTGAACTGTGGCTCGTGTGCCTGCCCCGCTGGGGCCCTGTCAGACCTCAGTCCTGCGTCAGCCCCCTCCCTGGTCAGCCAGGGTCCTCCATGCCTCCATCCACATCCCTCATGGGCTCCCTTTGGGGTCCCTCCTGCCACAGCTCCCCCTCTCCTCCCAGGCACCCCCCCATCCTTCTCCGTGCACTTTCTCCGTGGGGCGCATGGCATATGGACTTCCTGGTGGGCTCTGCCTTAGCTCAGCAGCTGGCAAGGGCAAGGGACCTGGTGTAAGTGTGTGCATCACCCTCCCCCACCAACGGCTCCCTTACTGGGCGCCCAGCCAGTGTTTGTTGAATGAATGTGAGAAAGGCAGGGAGCAATATAAAACATCTTGGAAAGGAGTCCTCCCCGAATGAGTAATGAAAAGGCTGCAGCCTGTCACCAGCCCATCCCCAGGGCTGGCAGTCTCTTACACACAGCCACCTGCTGCTCACGTGTCCCTGGAGAAGCTTCCATCCTTCCCTCCTAGCTGAGAGGCTGAAGCTCTGAGAGGTTGTTAAATCTTGCGTAAGGTCGCACAGCCCTGTGGGAGGTCGTGGTCACTGCCCTGGAGAGCTGGGTCTTGTCCAGTCTCCAACCCCAGGCCTCCAGCTGCTTTTCCCTCCACTCAGGTAGGCCCAGGAAGCAGATGGGGGGGGGGGGGCTGAAGAGCCCATGGCAGGTGGGAGGAGGCCCAGGGCAGAGCCCTGGAGTTGGAGTTGGACAGAGCCCAGGCCTGTGCCCTCCCCGTCCAGGGTTGGCGGGGCACAATGTCTGTGCACACTTGTGTCCTGAGCGCATGTGTACATGCATTTGGCCCACAGCATCAGCATCGGCAGTGGTGGGAGCCCTTCCCCCCTCCCACATCCCATCAGGGGTGTCGCTTCTGCTTTGCATAGATGGCCAGTGAAGGAAGGTATGGGCAGTGCAGACTCTAGGACAGAACATTCCAGAAGGCAGGAAGAGGGGCAGAGTCCCTGAGGCAGGCAGGTGCTAGTGGCTGTGGGGCCTGCAGGGCTGACAGGTGGCTGGCATGTGCTGAGAGAGTTCCCTCCCTAGGTGAGTCCTGACTGGCAGCACAGTCAGCTCCCGCAGAAGCTTCTGGGAGCACCGCCGATGCACGAGCCACCGGGGGGGGGGGGGGGGGGGGGGGGGGGGGGGGGGAGGGCAGGGTCCAGGCGTTCACGTAGTATGGATGGTGGCTCTGTCTCTTGGGCCTCTGAATGGGCACCAGAGACATAGGGGCTTGGGACTGCAAGCTGGCAGGGAGTATTGAAAGCAGGGAGCAGGGACAGGAGGCCGGCCATGGGGTCAGGGAGCTCAGCCAGCAGTAGCAATAGGAAGGGGCTGGAGCCCAGGAGGTGGCAGGGGCGCTGTCCAGTGTGGCTGGCAGAGAGGGCACAGGCAGAAATGCTGGGAAGTGGTGGGGGTCGCCAGGCTGGGCCTCTGGCATCCAGGGTGGACAGTAGGGACTGGGGGTCCCTAGAGGGGCGGTGCCCCGTGGCAGGGCAGGGCTGGAGGTCACAGAGGGCCCCTGTGTGCCTGCTGTGTCATGCTGGAAGGCTCTGCTCATGTCCAGAGGGGAGGTTCTTTCTCTCGGCCTCCCCCCTCGATCCCCACCTTTCTTCTCCACAGCTCGGCCCCAGCAGCCCCCGCAGTGCAGCCCATCAGGCAGGCCTCAGCCTTCCCTGTGCACAGCCTTATGGAAACATGGTGGCCCTGGTGGGCAGAGGCAGGAGGTTCACAAGTTCTAGGCCAGCCTTAGGTACCTGGGAGGGAGACCTGGCCCCTAAAACGAAACAGTGGAGGGAAGCTCACAGGACCGTCATCTTGTGGTTAGGGAATGGCAGAGCCGCGGCTGCGTGAACCTGGAGCAGTGGGGGGAGGAGGGCACTGCGCAGAGCCGTGGGGATGGCCCGCAGGGAGCCCGTGCCCGCTGCAGAGCCTCACACGCGGCTCCGCGCCCCCCTCCGCGCCCCCGCCCCCACTCCACCGCAGGACCCCATGGGGGTCTGTCTGGAGGCCACGGGACAGGCCCTGGATCACCGACGATTGGAGGGCTCCATGGAGGACCGCAGGCAGGTGCCAGGGTCTGCAGCGGCAGTGAAGGTCAAGGCCGGCTGGCTTCCATCTCCTGACCTGCCCAGCCTCCTTCCCCCTCCCCTCCCACCCCACCCCTACCCCCGGGGCCAGGGGAGCTCCCAGAAGGTCCTTCCAAAAGAGCTAAAACATCCTATGTAAATAATTGATGCCGGCTTTTTTAAAATTAAATTTTAATGCTTTCTTATTAATTCTAGACAAACGCCCCGACAGGTCATTCATCCCCCGCGGGTGACGGAGGCCCCCCTCCCCGGCGACAGCGCGGGGACCGTCCCAGCCGGTGGGTGGAAAAGGCCTCGTAGGAACCGGAGTCCAGGCCCGGCGGGGCTCCCCCACCCTGTGAACCTCTCGTGTCTGAGTTGGTACCGTGCGCTCTCCCGGAGGAGGCCGAGGGGGAGAGGCCCTCCCCCGGGGGCGCGGGGCAGCAGGAGGGCGCGGGCCCTGCGCTCCGCTCTGCCGTCCTCCCCTGTCCTCCCGCCGCTCGGCTGACACTGGACAGCCCAGTCGGGGAGCGCGGGGCGCCCGCCGCTGCGCAGCCTCCCAGGTGGCCGGCCTTCGCCCCCGAGCTACCGAGGAGCAGGAGCCGTGGGCGGGGGCGGGGGGGGGGGGGGCTTGAATCCTGGCGGGGCCTTGACCCCGCCAATGGACGGCTCCTCCCACCTCGCGCCGGCTGGGGGAGGACCGGGCGTGCCGGGTGCCGGGGCGTCCTGCGGGGACAGCTCGGGGGCTCCTGCCCGGCGGGAAGCCACGGCGGGCCGCAGGCCGAGGCCCAGCGCATTGAGCGCCTGCTGTATGCCGGGACCCGGTGCCGAGGGCGCAGCAATGGGGACCGCGCAAGGTGGGCCTGGGGCGCGGGGCGCGGGGCGCGGGCGGGCCACGGGGGGCGAAGTTCGCCCGTGGGAGGGGAGCGCCCGGGGGAGGGGCTCTGGTGCGGGGGGGGGGGGGTCTTGGGCAACTTTTAAAGTGTCCCGGAGGGAATCCGGCTCGCCAGCGCCTTGGGGTACCTTGACCCCCGGAAATGTCTGTCCGCCCGCGCCCCTCCGCAGCCGCCGGTGCCCCCCGGGCTGCCGAGCGCCTGGTGCGGCTTCCGCTCGCCTCCCCTCCCCCACACCCCCTCCCGGGTTTTCAGGTGAGGAAACTGAGGCTGGAGGACCCCGCGGGGCTGCCCGCCCCAGCGCCGGGGAAGTGGGTGGCCGAGCTGGTCCGAGGCCCCCGGGGCCGGGCTGCGCCGTCGCCCGGCGGGGCGGTGGGGGAGGCGGCGTGGGGCCCGGGCCGAGCGGAGCGGAGCGCGCTCCCGGCGGACGCGGCGGCGGCGCCCGGCGCGAGGGGCCGGGATGGGCAGTCACCAGTCTTCCCAGGTCTGTCGTGTGGTCCCTGGGCTCCGACCCCCGGGTCCCCTAGCGCGGGAAGACAGGAAAAGCCCCCCCCTCCCCGGAGCCACCTCTGGGGCGCAGGAGAGCCCGCCGCGCGTCCCCCCCGCTCCGCGCAGGAAGTGCCATCCCGCCCGGGCCGCCGCGCTCCCCGAGGCTCGCCGGCGCCCACAGGGTTAAGGGCGGCGGGGGTCCCCGCCCCGCGCGCGGAGGGGCTGCGCAGGCTGGGGAGGGGGGGGGTCTTCACGCCGCGCGGACGGAGTGCGCGAGCCCGGCAGGAGCCCCGCCGGCGAGCCGAGCCGCTCGGACGCGCGCGGGTTAATCCCTCGGGCCCGGGAGGGGCGAGCCAGGCCCAGAACCCCAGAATCCGGGGCAGCGGGGTCCCTGACCGACGAGGAGCGCGGGGCTTCCGATGCCGTCTCTCTGGGATTGCGTGAGTGTCGCCTTCTGCGCCCCGACCCCCGGCCCGGCGCCGATTTCCCCGGCTCAAACATTCTCCGACTTCAAGGTTCTGCGATCCGGGGGTTCGGCGTCCTCCGGGGGGGAGCGCGGGGCAGGAGGGTTAACGGCGGCCCTGGGGGACCCCCGAGGGCCGCGCGCGCCGGGAGTGAGCGGGGCGGGCCGCTCCCCTGCGGGGGGGATGGGGGGGACGCGAGACCCCAGCGCCCCGGGGCCGAGGCGTCCCGGATCCCGGGCCGGACCCCCGCTCGCTCTGGGGGGGGCGTAACTCGGTGCCGGGGAGTGCGGCGGCCCGGGCGGGCTCACCTGTTACTCGGCCCACTGAGTCACGGCGGGGGCCGCGGGCCGGGGTGCGCGGGGGGCGCGCGGCCGGGCTGGCTTCCCGCGGGCCGGTGCCGCCGCCGCGCCCTCCGCGCCCGGCGCCCCCCGCGGAGCGCAGCCGCTGCCCGCTGACCCCTCGTTTGTTTCTCGCAGGCCTCTGCCGCAGACATGGAGAAACTCAGGTGAGTGGGGCGAGCGCGCGGGGCCGCGGGCCCGGGGCCGGGCGGGAGGGCGGGCGGGCGCCCGGGGCGCGGCGGGGCCCGGGCCGCCGAGGGGGTGCGTGCGGCGCCCGCGCGGGGACACGGTGCGGGGGAGGGAGGGCGGCCGCGGCCGCTGGGGCGGGGGCGGGGCGCCCCCGGGGGCCCGGGCCGGTCCCGTGGCGCACTCCGCGGACCCTCGGGGTCTGGCAGCCGCCGCGCACGGGCCCCGGACCCTCGGTGGATAGCAGCCGGCTTCGGAGCTTTTAAGTTTCCGCCCGGGGTGCGGGGGGGTGGGGGCGCAGACGGGGGCGGGGGTGGAGGCCTGGCGGCGGCGGCCGCGTCCTGGAGCCATTTTGGGGGAACCCGCGCCACCGGCCGGGGAGGCCCCAGGCCTGCCCCCCCCCCAGGCGAACTTCCCGCCTCGGGGCCCCCGCGGGGGTCTTCGCACGGCAGGGATGGGGGTGGGGGGCAGCCGATTCAGATATTCGCGACCTCCCCCAACCGGCCTGACCCACACTTCGGGGGATCACCCCCCCCCCCTTGTGTTTTCCTTCCGGAGCCGGGCCCCAGGCCCTGTGGGCAGCAGGCCGGGCCCTGTGAGCGCTGCCAGCCTCGTTCTGCTGCCCTAAAGGGTCTCCTGGCCTCGTCCCCACCCCTCCCGAGGCCAGGATTGACAGGTTGACAAGGACGACATGGCCGTGGGGAGCAGGCCACCTGTTCCCGAAGGGGCAGGGCCTAGCAAAGCCCAGGCTCGGCCCCTCCCTCCCAGCTCGGGCCTTCCCGGCTGACCCTCAGATGCCCAGGTGGGCGAGGGAGAGGCTCTAGATTGCCATCCTCTGGCCTCAGAGGCGAAGGCCACAGCCCCTGGACCATCCTTTCCTGGGGCTGAGAAGGAGATACCAGGGACCCCAAACCTGGCATCAGGCCCCGGGGCCCATCTTGTCCTCCACAAGGCCCAGGCAGTGGGGAGGGGTGGAGGGAGGGGCCACAAAGTGGCATCCTGGCTCGGGTCACAGGGACCAGACCCAGACCTCTGACCCGAGGCCCGGGGCCCTCCCTGGGGCTCTCATCAACTGCCATTGACCAGCAGCTTGGGGTGGGCAGGGCTGACTGAGGAGGGGGCGCTGCTCCACTGGAGAGGCCCTGGAGGGAAGAGGGGGCGTCTGTGAGGTCCCTTGAAGCTGGCCTGGGGGGTGGGGTTCCCTGCAGGGTTCCTCGGTCTCCCTCTCTCTCCTCATTCACAGCCAGCACACTGTGCCACCCATGGGCCAGAGACGTGGCTATGCTGGGCAGGGGGGGCACACAGGTGGGCAGACCTGCTGCGTCCTGCGATACCGGGCAAGGTGAGGGAGCCCAGCAGCTGTGCCCCGCGCCGGGGCTCCTGGCTTGCATTAGACCCCGGGACCTGGGACTGGGTTGGGGTCTTGCAGGGCTAGAACTCAGCACAGCCTCCTGGAGCTGGGGAGAGGCCCTGCCCTCTTCTGCCTCTGACCCCAGTGACTTTTCTCCCAGCTGCCTGCCAAGCCTTTCCAGATCATTCCTTCCTGGCCTGTATGGAGTTACCCTGTGGGTTTCTGCCCTGTGTTTAGGGCCCAAAGGGCTAAGAAAAGTCAGTCGTATGGCCTCTTGTGGGGGTGGGCCAGGGTTTGGGGGATCCTGGCCCCCTCACCTCTAGCAAAATCTTTCCCCTCTGGCCTCGTTTCCTTAGCTGTAGAGTGGTTTTCCCCCTCCCCGCTAGGGGCATGTGTTGGGAAGATGGCTTTGAAGCACCTGCCCTGGACTTTGTATAGTGCAAGTACCCAGATAGAGTGCCCCAGGGGGTCCCCAGAGTGCCCACCAGGCAGGACAAGAGGCATCTGTGTCCCGGTGAAGCAGGCATGAGCCTGATCCCGCCTCCTGGCCCAGAGGTTTCTGCACCCCCAGGTTAGGCTGTGTGGCACCCCCGTGAGTTCAGAGCCCAGGTCTTGTTCCCGCCATCTCCCAGACCCCTGTGCCTGGAGCCAGGCCTGGTCCCGAAGGGCCTGTGCTGCTGGTGGTGGGTGTGTGGCCCTCTAGGCTCCCTTCTGCAGGCAAGTCTCCAGCTGGGCTCTCGCTACCCGCTCCCTCTGTCCAGCTTGCCGCCTGCTCTGCCACCATCAGGTGCAGGACAAGCTGTCACTCTTGTTGTCAAGGGGGGGGGGGGGTGACAGGATCCCTCCAAGGGTAGAAGACCCTGGGGCTCAGGCACCAACTCATCCAGGGACCAGCAGGGGGAAGGAGTGGAGGGCTGGGCTCTGGCTGTCACCAGACGCACCCCCCCTCTCCCAAGAGTCTGGGCACCCCTAGAGCAGAGCCTAGGGCTCAGTCCCATGCCTGGCAAGGACCGGTGTGACTCTGAGGTGTGAGCCACTCCCGCTCGGGCTCTGCTCACCCCTGCTCAGCCCCACTGCACGTTCCTGCCTGCTCTTCTCATGACGTGGCCGCGTCCCAGCCCCTCTCCACGTGTGCCCGCCAACCCAAAGGTGTGCACTCTGGATCTCAAGTGAGCCTTCTCCTCCCTCCCCCCCCCCCCCCCCCCCCCGCTAGGTCCTCTGCACCTCGCATCCTGCCTGGACTCAGGGCAGCCCCTTCTCTGAGCCCCAGCTCCTCCTCAGTCCTGTCCTGGGAGATGGGAGCCTGCAGGGCTCTGAGACTTGTCCCCAGCTGTTCCCCACAGAGTCCCTCGACTGTAACTTCACCAAGTCATGATGGCCAGGTACACGTGCTGAGCCTCTGTGGTTTAGCACCTGGGGTAGGATGATCCCCCACCCACCCACTCCCAGAAGGCCCCCCAGGCCCTCCCCAGTTCCTCCCCGCACCCACCAGAGCTCCCCCGATCCCCATTTAGTTATACTTGGTTCCCGCGGTCCCTGTGGACGGAAGCCTGAAAGGACATCCCAACCCCCGCTGCTCCTGGTCAGAAGGGCCGGTGGGTGTGGCGGGGCCTGTGGGCGTGGCCCAGGTGGCCACAGGGATGCAGCTGGCCCTAGGGGGGCTCCTTTGCTCCAGAGGTCCTCTCTTTGGACTGGTTTGCATTGGTGGGTGTCTGGGCTGCTCCAGCCTGACCCCCGAGCAAAGCTGTGGACATTCCCACGCAGGTGCGTGCAGGATGGGCCAGAGCTTGAGAATACTCCGCCATCCTCCGCAGCCTCCGCCCCGCGGGGGCCCGGGGCTCTTGGTGCCCCTCTGACCACAGCCCTGATTCCCCTCTGCGTGCGGGCGTCCGCTTTGGGGGTGTCTGTGTCTCTCTTCTTACTGGCTTTCTGGAACTCTTCTTGCCCTTGCTCCAAATGGTCCTGGGAAGGACGGAACTTAGTCAGGAAGGGCCTCGAAGCTTGCTGGCTGCCCCTGCTCCTTCACTCGGGGCTGGAAGCGTGTGCGTCTTCTCTCAGGGATCCTCTGATGTCAGGCGGCTCTCGGCCGGGTCCACTTGAACTTGGTTGCAGCGCTTTGAGGCTGAGCTTTGTATTTCCCTCCCACCCCGTCCTTCATTGGACCCCTGCCCAGGCCAGGCTCTGTCCTCCGCCTGGAAGCGGAGGGGGGGCAGCCGGGGCGGCTCTGGACGCTGTCGGGGTGTGCGTGCCGTTCCCGAAGCCCAGACCCTTCTGCCCCTCCCCAGCTCCTTTGTGTTGTGCGGCACGAGGCCCCCGGGGCCAAGCCTGGCTGCTCCTCCTCTCCCACACCACCCCCTCCCTGTCCTCAGCCCTGAGTTGCTGCTGCTGCTTTATTTGCTCCTTGATCACGTATTCAGCGTGTGTTTATTTATTTATCGCCACTGTTTACCAGAGGGCCTTGTAGGCACAGGGGTACAGCAGAACCATCTGGCTAGAGAGGACAGAAGCATTTCTAAAATAAGTAAGCATCACAGTGACAAGTAGTGTCAGGGGACAGAAACAAGGAGGGTAGTGTGTGTGGGTCTGGTGGGGGGAGGCGGGGGGCATTCTGCACAGCCAGCTTGAGGAGAAGAGAAGAAAGGGAGGCTGGAGGCTGGCGTTCCAGTGCAGAGGACCCTGTAAGAACCACAGAGGAGCCAGGCACAGTGTCTCCGGCTTTAATCCTAGCCACTTACGGAGGCAGAGATTAGGAGGCTCAAAGTTCAAAGCCAACCCCAGCATAAAGTTCAGGCGATCTCCCGGCCCGCCCCCTCCCCCCAGCCCCCAGCCATCTCAGTTTATAAAATGCTGACTGTGATGGCAAGTCCTGTCATCCCAGCTATACAGGAAGTATAAATAGGACGATCAAGGTCCAGGGCAGCCTGGCCATAAACAGGAGGCCCTATTTAAAGCCAAAAGCGAAACAACAATGAAAAGAACCTCAGATGCTTGAGTTCCTGAAGGAAAAGATGGAGTCCCACAGCCTGAAATGTGGAGCTGGGACAAGTCTCCTCCTCAAGTCTGTCCTTCAAGCCTGTCCGCCCCATTTCCAACCTGATGCTTGTAGAGGAAGCCTGGTGGGCTAGCAATTCTCACTAAAGTATTACTGACTACCTCATTTGAGCTGCTCCCTTTGGAGGTCAGGATGCTGTAAAGGGATCTCCTATATAAACTGTTTTCTCTGCCCTTTACCCTGCCCCTCAGCCTAGCAGAGCTTCTGCTCCTCGGAAAAGCCTTCCTAAGGGAGGTTGAATGGTGCCTACCTAATGGAAGACATGGGAGAACTTAGTGTGTTTCTCAGGTCTGCCGCTGACCGGCTCCGTGGCCTGGGGGGAACTGTGGACCCTCAGATCCCACGCCTGTGTGACGGAGCTCTACCTTAGAAGGCTGTGCTGAGCATTTAGCGTGTGTGAACCTCGCACATGGCCAGTGGAGTGCAATGGCGCTGGCACTTGCTGCTCGCTACTTGCTGCTCTCGGAGGTTTCCTCTGCCCCGCAAAGGCCCTGTCTCCCCACGCAAGGGGCAGGTGCCATTTTCCCCATTGCAGACACAGGGCCATCCCGGCTACGCCAGCCACAGACAAGATGCAG